CCATGCATACATGGCCAGAATTGAGACAGATGTTGTAACTGCTTAAAGTAAGTGGGACTGCACATAGAAATAACAACTGCATTAAATAAAGGTATTTTCAGTCCTCATTCAAGATTAAAAGACTTCCAGCACGGACAGAAGAGTAACAGTAAGTTACCAAAAAATAGCTCATGAGATCACCCAGCTCAGTGTGAGGATTCCCCCCCTGTACTGGTAAGGAGCAAGGGTTCTCCCCCTCAGTGTTCAGAGGAGGTGAAAGTAAGGTTCCTGGTAAGTCAAAGAACTGATGTGCCAGTGAATTTTGCATTTGAAACCTAAGCACCAATGTTACCATCTCTGTGCCCTGTGTTACTGCACCACACATGTGCAAAATGCCCTTTCAGAAACCAAGCAGCCTGTGGAAAGCTGAAGCACTATTTCCACTCCCTGCACTTTGATTCTGTTTTCGGTTGCTCCTTTATGTACTGCTTCCCTCATTCAGACTCCAAGTTCAGCTTTTTTACAGTTCCTGAAACTGCCAAAGTGCTCCCACTTGTACCATCCTTTTGGTTTTCCTTCCTTTTCTCTCTGCTCCCATTACCTTAGTGCCAGTCACAAGCTCACTCTGCAGGGGCTTCCAAGGCTGACAGCATGACAAAACACCTCAAGCTTTATTCAGGACTGCAGAGACACTCTACCACTCCTGAACTGCTTTTATTGTGACTGTCTAAGAGCGGAAGGCTGAGCAGGATGATCAATCAGGAGCTTCCCTTGGAGATGCTTTTGAACTACTCTGCATTGCAACAGGATGGCACAGAGACCGCAGAACTGAGTCCAATCTAAATGGAAGCGAAATAATGCAATGTGTATGACATTAATAATTGAAGAACAGCAGTCATAAGTGAATGAAAAACAGCACAGAGCATGGCTGCACCAGCCTGTCTCCCTTGTCTTCCACCTTCCATCCCTGTTTCCTCTGACAGCCCCTTCACTCCCAGCCTATTGATGGGAGGAATTTCATGACACTTGGCAGGTAAGGAGAAGAGGGGAAGAAAAATCTGAGCTTTTTTGCTAGAGGTAACAATTAGAGCATTGAAACACATTTCTTAGGAAGGATTTCAAAAATCTGTATAAACATAGGTTTTAAAGAACAGGTTAGAACAAGTTATCTCCAGGCAGAGAAACCATTCTTTAGAAGGATCAAGTGACAAAAGGATACGTAAGTGACCTCTCCAGGTCCCTCCCACATTGCCATGAGTATTCTGTTTCTTTACTGGAACATACAATATGTATTTTGTGGGGTTTTTTATTTTCCAAGATCTGCCCTAACATCTACCAGCACTAAGGATTCTAAACTGCTTCTGCAGGGAAACAGTGGGAAGACTGGAGAAAACCAGATCATAGAATCAACCTGGTTGGAAGAGACCTCAAAGATCATCAAGTTCAACCCTACTGTGGTTAACAGACCATGGCACTAAGTGCCACATCCAGTCTCATCTTGAAAACCTCCAGGGATGGTGAATCCACCACCTCCCTGGCCAGCCCATTCCAACTGGGTGCAGAAAAAAGGGAATTAATACACTTGAATTTAAAGAGACTCTCTGCCCTGTGCTAGGTTTTCCTACAGAAAAGGGAAAAGACTGAACCAGAACTGCTCGAAAGCCTAACAGGGAAGAAAAAAAAAGGTGACATGAAGAATGCAAAACGTTCTGGATTTTAATTTCTCACACATGGCTACACAAAAGGAGCTAGAAATGGAGAACTACATAGCATAGCTGTATTTTTAAGTACCTTCTCCTGTGTTCCTTGTCACGTGTGACTGGAGTAACATGATCGCTGTCTTTTCCTTCCCTTTTTCCTGCTAAAACCCTTAGGTATGTGTAACAAAATGGACCAAAAAACATTTCTTTTTAACAACCAAAGAGAGGAGAACTACCAAATTCTGCTCTTTGCCTGCTTGAGAGGAAGTGCCTCCTCAGACAAAAACCACAAGTGTTTGATCCAGAAATCGCATCAACTGGAAGAAGAAACATGATCTGAAACCCAGATATAAGACAACCTATTGTAAGAACTAAGCCAATACCATGGCACAACTGTTTCTTTAGTTTAAGAAGAGCCACTGTCTGTTAAACCAGTTAACAAATTTAAAAAAGAAGAAATGCCTATGATGTCCTAAGTCTCAGTCTACCAGAGAACAGCTGCACTGCAGCAGATAAAAGGTCTGCAGTGCATTCTTCCTCCAACAATGGCTAACAGTGACACGAAGCTATTCCAGGACTACAGCAAGGTGAAATGAATAGTTTTATGACCTGTGAACCCAGCAAGATCTGGTTTCCTTTGACACTGTCCCTCAGCCTGAGGTTGCACATCTAATAAATGCCAAGCTCTGATCAAAGCTACCTGACTTTCATCCTGAGCACAATCAGCTCATGCTATGGTTTCACTCCTCAGCTCAGACTAGGCTTCTCTTTCTTCCTAGGCACTGAGGCTTTTGAAGCTCTCAAGAACCTCCCATCTTTGAGATCAAGGTCCTCTAAAAGTGGCTGAGCTCAGCAGCCAAGAAATCAGCTGCTGAGAGAGGACAGAGCACAGCTGCCTGTGCCAGGAGACTTACAAGAAACAACTGAGAACATACTTTTGTGTATTCCAGTGCATGCAAGTCAGGACCTCTATATATCTTTACAAACAGCATTTATTCTATTGAAGTACAAAAAATCACCCCCAAAAAATCATCAAGCTGAGAATCTGAAGTACATAAAACGAACCCTTGATGGGTCAAATACCCAGCTCAGCAGGTAACTCCCTTTGAAATTCTTTCCCTTCACATTTCTTTGTGAAAAATGAAGCTGTAATATCCTGTATTACCCACATTATCCCACAAAATTAAGCACTGAGTGTACCTGTAAAACATGTTTGACCTGTTTGAGTAAGTCTTCACTTAAAGGGGAGTCAAATTGTTAGAGAAAATAGGTATTTGTTGAACAAACATGCAGTTTCAATGGAATTACTGCAAGACTTTTTCCACACAGCTCCTGGTAAAAGAAAACTGAGGACCAAGACCAGAGAGCTGTCCCAGGAGAAGTTTTCAATATTGACATCCAAGAGAGAACAGTCAATCCTATCAAGTTACTCTGAAGCTCTTCAAGTGACATGAGAAAGGCATTTAGAAGAGATGGCTGAAGTGGGAACCACTGCTCCACATCCCCTCACATGAACAACACAGCACAGAAACACACACACCAGCAACTCTCAATCACATAGGAAAGTCCTCTACCTGCCAGAATGTGAAAGGGAAGGAAGCAGCAAAGGAGAGTAAGAAAAATTTTCCTTACTATAAAGCTGTATAACTCCAGTAAATCACAAATGACTTCTGGGGATAGGAAGTCTGCAGCTGCTTTTGGGTTGTTTTGCTTGTTTGGTGTGGGGATTTTTTCCCCAAAAAAAGGTTTAACAGGATAAATACAAAATTTCAAGAGAAGAGAAAACAAAGGAACAAGGATTTCATAGAATGCTTCTGTTGCTTCCTTATGTTGGGTTAATAAACTTGTGGATTTTTACTTTCATTGCTACTTTTGAGATTATTGCTTATATTGCTTTCACACAATTCTTACTATGTGAGACAGAGGGAGCAAAACTCCTGTGGTACAGTTTCCCAGTTCCCAAATTGCATCCTTTGGTCGCACTAGGGAAGTGTAAAAGTTTTCTTTACAAGGCATTTTGTGAAAGTTGTTAATTAATTTCCTAGAAGTCTCCTATCTTACATCCAATTTCTTGTACTTACGCTAAGCTTAAGAAGTGAAGCCATCAGAGCTTCCTCTTCCAACAGGGAAACTGACACATCTTTCCCACAATTCACCAGTTTAAAACCCCTACAGATCATTCAATAACACACTCTTGTCCCTACTCATTCAAGTGTCACTAAGCAGGAACACAAATTTGATATTCATTACTCTTCACACTATTCCTTAGGTTATTCAGTGACCAAAGGGATGGAAATAACAGACATTCACAAATTTCTGCAGAAGAGCAGAAAACAAGTGTATCAGACCAGACAGGTCAGCAAATGAAGCTCTAGATGCTACAAAACATTTAGATTTCAATGAGTTACACAAAAATACCTGTTTATGTTCAGCTCTGCTTTGCTGTAGGATGGAAATGCTTTCTACAGATCAATGAAAGCGCAACATCTTGGCAGAGCTAGTTTATCCATCCTCAAGAAAGCTAAACTAACAAGCCTAGAAATGACTTTTCTGTGACGTTTTAGACCAGCTATCAAACAGTGTCTCCTCAGAGAAGCAGATGGATGTGACCGGATCCCTGTTCAGGCACCGTCTGTGGTTTCAAACTCGCCTGGTTGTAGCCTGTTACTTTTGAATAACTTCCAAAGTGTTCCAGACCTGCTGAGCTAAGGACATAGGAAATCAACCCAGAGGAAATGCATTTTGGAATGGAATACACTTCCAAATCAAGCAGTCTCTGTGTTCTGGCACTCCTGGAGACGCTGGCACTGGGTGCTAAGGAAACTAGCACTGCTGAATGGGCTACTAACCCCTTCAAAGTGCTACTGTAACCTAAGGTTTCTCTCACTCAGAGCCCCAAGTCCACAACATGCTGAACAGTGCCACAAGTCAGATGCAAAGGACAGCTGTTTTACTCATTTCAGCACTAAAAACAGGGATGGGGGGAAAGCTGACATATAGGAATGTTATACATACCTGTCTAAATTTAGCTCTAGCCTCCTTTTCCTTCATTCTTCCATGTGCAACCAGATAGTCAAACACTTCCCCTATGATGCAAAAATGAGATAAATTAATGCCAGTCTCAGAACGCAGAGATGACTCTCCAGCAGTTGCCCACTGCAGCTTCACTGGGATGATGGTACTTCCAAGTTTATGATTACAGGTTAGCTCAAGAGAACAAGGCCCAACTGCTGTGCAATTTACTACACCATCATCTCTTTTACAAGAAAATAATGAGTGACTGGATTTAGACAAAGCAAACCATCTCCTTCCAATTACTCAGGATAGAAACTGAGCAGCACCCTTCTGTTTTGTAAACAAAGATGACATGAACCCCTTCACAGACCTTCTCACAAGGGTTTCTTCTGACCCACAAAAAAACCTGCTTCCATATGATGACACTTGCAAATACCATCATAGCAACACTAGGATTTTAATCTGTGCACGTGTATAAAATTGTTCTAAACTGAATGAGACATCTTAGCTTTAACTTGGGCTTGGAATGGGTAACCAAGGAAGGTCACAATAATGAGCACAGCAGGACATGCTTGACATAATCCATCACACAACCATCAGACCTGAAAAATACACTAAGAAAGATTACAACTGACCAAGCCCACTGTTCTCTGGCTGTGGATGACTAAATATCTGCTGTGTTTTGGGTTTTTTCTCCCCTTTAATCAATGCACTCATTTTATAGCACATCAATGTAGATACAATGTTTGAGCTTTAGGTGCAGGCAACTGGCCCATGAGACACTGATATATTTGTGAAAGCACAGAAGATTTTCTTTACTAAAAACCAATAGCTATGTACATAACTCCTACAAACACAGTCATATATGCTCTTTTAAAAATCCCTTGCAGATTGCAGATTTAAAAATCCCATGCGAAATTCATGAAAACCTGAAGTTCTTATGTGGATTCTAAAGTGGATCAAATATTTAAAGATTCCCTAGCGAGCAAGAAAGCGTTGTTTTGCAGACAGTCACATCACATGGGAAGAGCTGAGTAACTTCACATTTATTTCTTAACAGAAGCAACTCCAAAATGCAGGAAAAAAACCAGAGTCACACAGCAGGAAAAGCACCAACTGAGCCATCTGAGGGAATGTCAGGATTTCCCACAGAACAGCCTTACTGTAGTGTATTATTTAATGAACAACTCAGATAACTCTCTCATTGCTGTCTCTTCAAAAACCTGGAAGCAGCAAACCTGAACACTTTTTCCTAACTCAGAGAAAACACCACCAGAGAAAGAATTATCCCCAGTTTATGTGAAGCGTTGCAGTTGTAGCAATAGTTTCTTTCATCCTGCAGCCAAAACTCACGTGCACCGTGGTGACCCAGACCTTAATGAAGAGAAAATATGGGAAATTGATGCCTGCCACTGAGATGAGGAGCCATTCCTGTCTTGGCACATCAAAAGGTACTGCTCTTGGCCTTTCAGACCAACCAGTGTGGTGTGTATCTCTCCCTTACCACCCAAAGAAGGATCCTCGCAGCTCTACAGAACCACTGCCCTTTCTACCTCCTAGAAACTAATCACTAGATGGCATTAGGACTTCACTTTTAAGTCTAGTACCATCAAACAGCACAGAGATTCCTCCTGAACCACCTGTTTCAGCCAGTACTTTAATGGGATTATACCCACTCTGTTCCTGTCTAGGCACATCTTGGCTAAGCACTTAGGGAGCTGCTAGAAAACAGAGGCAGGTAGATAATGTTGCATTATGGGTAGTAACTCATTAAACTTCATGTAATGTCAGAGTCAGAATTCAACGCTGATTTTCTACAAAAGGAAGTCTCTGTATCTCCCTCCTAAAACTAAAGCCTCAACTGCTTGAGACTCCCAAGTGCTGATGCTGAAGGGTCACACTGACACTCTGAGTGCTATAAGGTTTTAGCCAGCAAGGAGTAACTTAAGCCCAAATACCTTAATTCTAGCTCTGGTGGAAACATCTGATGCTGCATGATGTGCATTTCTCTATCAGAAAAAACATTTAAGCTCCTCCCAAAATGGCCTAAGCCTAAGCCTAACAATTCTTGACAGCAGAAGATCTGTGATTAAGATGTGCAAAATGTCATCAGTATCTAAAAAACAGAAGTTGTAGTATTTGTGTTTTTTAAAACAACAGTTAAAAAAACAGAGAAATGTTTCATCTGGACATGTTTTTACCAAGTATCTTAGAGAACAGAGAACACCAGAGGGAGGGAGCTGAATACAATAAACTGAGGTTAGTATTTATTATGGACAATTGATGGCCAAAAAAGAGATTCCAATTAAATCTGAGTTGTGAAAACAAAGCAAATATTACTAAATTGCAGTAAGTTCAGAACCTGTTTTCAGAAGTCATATTTATGCTGACCAAAAGTACCAGAGACTATTATATTTTTCTTAATATTTTATACTTCCTTAACACAAATATTTGCTGAAACAGAAAGCAAAACTTTCAAGAAAACAAGTGCTTCCTCCCACTTGGCAATGAGCTTACATGTGTCACCAGAGCAGCGAGTCACTTACCCCCACTTGCATATTCCATTATTAAATAGAGAGTTTTTTCAGTTTCAATGACTTCAAATAGCTTCACTAGAAAAGAGAGACATTAATTATAAGCTAAGTAGTTGCAGAGATGTTAACTCCACAGAGAATTCTGTCAGAGAAAAAACACAACCCCAAACTATTTGCTTGCCACTTGATAATATCTACTCTAAGGAAGCTTTTCCTGCCAAACATTCCTAAATGGAAAATACTGTAACACATTTGGTCAACTCATACAGAACAACATATTCTCCAGAAACAAGACTTTGCTCCTGCTATATGGAAAAGCAGCTAAATAAAGCAGAACTTCCACAACATCAGCAATAGCCACTCTGATGCACTGAACTGGCTGACAAATGGATTATCAGTCAGTTGTAACAATACTACAAATGTAAACACACAATCCTCAATAAATTCCTGACCATTTCTTGGGTTTGGTACACACTTATTTTTAATTATAGCCTGAATTCAGTCAAAATCAGTATTACACTCAAAAAGGAGCAAAATGATCAGTTAACTATGTAAATAACAGTTATCTACAAAGGGACCAAAATGTTTGGGTTTTTTTAATACACAGCTCAGAAACAGTATTTATTACTGGTATTTTACAGTAAATTAATACCCCAGTCCAAAAAAATCTTTTCGACTCATCCCACAACCCTTTTAACAGTGCAAAAGCTAAAATCTGTGAAAATGAAGTGAAAGAAACAAGGTACCTATATTCGGATGATTTAAGATCTTCATTATTCTTACTTCTCTAAAGAGCTGAAATAAACATAAAACACCAATCAGTTAATGAAATTGGTAACAAACAGCCATTCTTCCTTGAGACTGATGACTTGATAGAGCTTTTTAAACACAAAGGGCAAACATTATTAGCATTTCAATAACGTCCATTAAATAATGGAGGGAAGAGTTAAGTGCCTGCTTTTTTTAAACACTCCTCCCAAACAAATCAACCCTCGAAAACCTGAAAACACTCACAAAGGACTCCACAGAGCTCAGGAAAGAAGTGATCTTAGCCCTGTGGTTCACAGACTTCAGGAGCCAAAGACCACCGCGAGCTAACACAGCTTCTTGCTGACCAGTACATCTCATACACCTTGCTAAGGGAGTTGGGATTGTTCAGCCTGGAGAAGAGGAGGCTCAGGGGAGACCTCATCTTATCACCCTCTGCAACTCCCTGACAGGAGGTTGGAGTCAGGTGGGGGTTGGTCTCTTCTCCCAGGCAACCAGCAGCAGGACAAGAGGGCACAGACTCAAGCTCTGCCAGGGGAGGGTTAGGTTGGATATTAGCAAGAGATTTTTTACAGACAAGAGTGCTCAGGCATTGGAATGTGTTGCCCAGGGAGGTGGTGGATTCACCATCCCTGGATGTTTTCAAGCTGGACTGGATGTGGCACTTAGTGCCATGGTCTAGTGACCATGGTAGAGTTGGACTTGATATTTGAGGTCTCTTCCAACCAGGTTGATTCTATGATTCACAGACAGCAGTTTCCAAAGTGTGTGACCCCTCACCTGAGCACCTTTAGAAGACCACAGCAGTAGGGTACTGGTATGAACTCAGTGTTTTTCAGTAAAAGCCAAGGAATCACTGTGCTACGACAGCAGCTCACAGTTGAAAAATCAGCCACTGACATCCCACAAAGAGTGTGTTATCCTACACCAGAAAGGTCTTAGGAGAGGGGGAAGACAAGGCCACCCCTCAGGTCTCCCAGAGGCACAGCAGCACTGCCCTGGGGTTGTCAGCACACTCCACTGACTCACAGCCAGACACCAGGCTCCAAGCCTGCTCGGCCATGCTGAGTGTACTTGCCAAAATTAATAGGGCAGAACACACACGGTGTTTTCCTGACCCCATCATGCTGCTTCCCTTTATGCAAGCACTACTGTTAACCCAGACTGACACACACGGGCTAGGAATTAACAGAAAAATCCCCCATACACTGAGTGCCTTGAGCACTCCAGTTCGAGCCCAGCCCAGCATATCTGTTTTGGCAGGAATGGCGGTGAGGGACAACTGCCCATTCCAACCTGCAGCATGACATTACATCCACTGCCCTGAATCCAGGGACCACATACTTATTGTAAGGATCTTATTGTGTCCCATGTCCTGTGTCTGTCCACCCACTGCCAATAACCATGTGAAGAGGGTTTTGCTTGAGTAATTATTTCCAAAGAGTCCAACTGTGCCTGTCACACAGAGCAAACTCTGTCCTCCTGCAACTGAATGATAATATGGGAATGACATCTAACAAAATACAAATGAAGGCAAAGTCTACTACTGATTAGTAGCTAATTATTTTCACCTCTCAAAACTCTTCTCCAAAAGGCATTTAGAAGATACACATAAATTTGTAACTGTCACACTAAAAATACCACAGGTGTTGTTACTGCAACATAAAACATGGATTTTAATGAAGCTGGTTAATAGCAGATGAATTAAAAGTAGTTCCAAGATAAAATATTACTACAAATAACTCGAAGTGTAAATACTATGCAGTGTTACATTGGCTTGAGAGCTGTTAGGCACCAAGGGACTTGGCAGTGCTGGTGGCACAGCTCAGTGGGAGCCAACAGTGTGCACAGGTAGCCAAGGAGGCCATGGGCATCTTGTCCTGGCTCCAGCAGAGGGTGGCAGCAGCACTAGGGCAGTGTCATCCCCCTGCACTGGGCACTGGGGAGGTCCCAGCTCAGTGCTGTGCTCAGCTTTGGGCACTCACTGCCCAAAGGCCATTGAGGCACTGGAGCGAGTCCAGCCAAGGGCAACGAGGGCAGCAAAGGGCTAGAGCACATGGGCAAGGGCTGAGGGAGTTGGGTTGGTCAGCCTGGAGAAGAGGCTCAGGGGTGACCTCATGGCTCTCTCCCACTCCCTGCCAGGGCTGGAGAGAGGTGGGGGATGTGTGTCCTGCCAGGGCTGCAGGGAGAGGATAGAGGGAATGGCCTTGACCTGAGCCAGGGCAGAGTCAGACGGGCACTGAGTATCTGGTTTAGGGGTTCCAGCAGTGACAGGTTAATGGCTGGACGCAATCTTAGAGGTCTCCTCCAACCCTGATCATTCTATGGTTCTACTACTGCATTCAGAAAGCAAAGAATTCTCTTTCTATGCACTACACCATATGGCAAGAGAAATGTGTAGCTGTTCTCCCTCCACAGCTCCCCCCATGCCAGCCCAAGACTCCTGAGGGTTGATGTTCTTAAGCCTCAGTTATTTTCCAACAGTAAGCCTCAAGAAATGGGAATAATCAAGAGGCTCCATTAGAAACCTAACACAGTATTTCTAGAGCAATACCAGGAACAGATCATATTGAACTTGATGTAGACAGACTGAAGCAGAACAGACATCCACAGCTCCATGGGAATGCAGACATGGGAAAGAAACCAAGAGTTTTGTAAATAAGAGATAGCAGCGTTCTTAACAGTAAGGAAGCAGAAAGTGCTGCTGCAAGATTTGCCTTGGGTCAGATTTCAGATAAAGTGAAGATATTTAATATGTCTACACATATTACTAACGACTCAAAAATCTTTAGGTGTATTTACTCAATAAAAGCAAAAAAACCCGTCAAACATTGTAAACAAACGGGAAACAACCCAAGAGTCAATAAAACAGAATCCTTGTGCCTTTGTGACTTTTAATAGCAGAAAATGCAAGGGATGGGTTTTAAGTAAATAGGAAAAATTCACAACTTGGGGACCAGTTGTTCTAACCATTCTGCTTTCTGATGTTTGTCAAGGCCAACATCTGGGGAACAACCCTCACTGCACTGCCCAACAGACCTGCTCCCCTTGCTACAGCTACAGCTGGGAATGACACCTGAATATACAGAAAATCCAGTTTTCCAAATGTCTTTAATTACCCTGTTATCCAGGCCCATGCCTGACCCTTTGCTAGATGAAAACTGCTTCAATCAAAGCAGGGTTGATTGATCAAGTAAATTATGTGCCATGCAAAACAGAGTCTCAAAATCTATGCATGTAGGTTTCCTGTATCCTCCAAAGGGGTAAAACTGTCTTTTTTAAACTATGTTATTTCTGGGGATTTTTCAGATATAATTAGACAAGGTAGATTTCATTATCTTGGAGATGAGCAATTTAAAAGCAGTTGAAATCTACTTCTATTTTTTCTTATTTTTCATTCAGTTCAGGTGAACTGGTGTATAATATATGCCAAGTACTCCATTAATACTTTCAATCACAGCTTACATAACTGAAAGCCTCTGCTGTTTGCTTAATTCACTCTCACTTGATAGCTGATATCTTCCACCCCCAAGACTTAGATAAAACCTACTGGGTCAGACTCTGACCAAACAATTGGCCTGCAAGACAAGTGCTCTGCATTACCATCCCAAATGAAGCATCTCAAAGAGCAGCTTTGACATTATGAGACATTTGTTGAAGTGGGTGACTAGAAACAAGTTCTTTTTAAAAAAGACCATTTTTGTCTTAGAGGAAATTAAAAATACTTGAGAATAGGATACAATCACCATCAAATTATTTAGTATAGCTTTAGTTAGATAAATGCACTTCAGGCTGTGCAGCCCTAGACAGTTTAACGATTATATCATAGAATCATAGAATTTGAGAGTT